CCTTAATGACTTTCAATGACGAACTCTACAGCGCGGAAATACGGTCGGTAATAAGTAAGAACAAACGTCCACGTTTGACAAGTGTCATCCCTACGCATAGATTTTTAACGTTTTTCAAAGTCATTTTCAGCATTGCAACTGAGTTTAAATTCTTAAATTATTAGCATTATTCCAAAAAATACATACCAACATCAATGCAGCTGTCATCGGACAGCTCGCCTTCCTCTCGATCGTTTTTTATGCGTACCATCCGACGCATATCCTAAATGAAACCATCTCAAAGAACCGTATACAAGCAGACGGCAAAATTAAAGTTTCTTTTCTTCCGTCAATGTTTATTAGAGAGCTCTTTCCCGGTGTCTGCAACAAACAAGTTGCTATTTTTGGTTTAATGCCTCATTCAGAGAATCAGATGCCTCTGTGGCATTTCTAACGCATGTTTTCCTGTGTATCTTCCAGCGCACACTGTTATTTTATTCACTGTCATTCAGCTTCATCTCATCTGCCTCACATGTCCACATCATCTTAGTGTACATTTCTTATTCCAAGACATCACTAATATAATTATGTTGCCGTTCGTCTACCCTCCTAATAATTCTACGACGAATGCTTAGCATTCTCCTGAAGTAATGTCTACGAGTCTAACGACCACGAATGATTCTCTTAAAGCTGGTATTCTTTAATAAGATTACCCATTGGTTGAAGGTCCATTCGAAATCAAGAGAGAATTATTAAAATCTCACTCAGGCAGAGAAGCCTCAGCTGAAAATCTTTATCACTGCAGAAGCGGCAAAGACATTATTTGAAACATTATTTCAAACGCATGAGATGTAACCTATCTCGACAACTTCAATATAAAAGCAACGACACAATTTATTCTTAACATCTTGCGATCAATGTTTCTGAGCTGCACATAACCGATCACAATTTAATATTTTAGGCAACAGTAACTCTTAATTCTGTATGCATGTTTTCTACTTTTTTAATCTTTTTGTACTGTCCATATGCCCTTGTTGTCGAAATTTATCCGTGTAATCCGTCTTGACCATTGCATAACTCAAGTCGAGAAAGGATAAAACGTATTCTTAGCGTCCTCCTGCAAGCTATTTTGTTCAGCCATACATGAACACTGACAGGTCTATAACTTCGTTCCATTCTATTCTCTTACGAATGGACCTCTGATGTAACTGCTCGTATACATATAGGAGATTGATCAAATAGATTTTATTATTATCATTATATCACACTACTGTCAACTTCGGCGAAAATTACTCAGGAAAGGTTGAGGCAGGCAATTAATAAAAGAATTCACCCAAATCATGCAGGCTTCTTGATGGGACATCCTGCCCTGATCAAATATTTATTTTGCGGAAAATCACTGAGAAATGTTACCTTCTTTGGTCAGTTACCTCTATTTTAAGGCTGCATTTGATTGGCTACGTCGTCCGATGATGTGGAAAAGCTTGAAATACTATTAGATACCCCTTACCTCGTTTCCATTTGAGCATAGAAGTACGTATGCACTGTATCTGATGTCAAAGTCAAAGGAGAGCTACGTGACTGGTTCCCTATTAATTCCGGAGTTCGTCATGGAAATATGTTTTCGCCACTGCCAATCGACGTTGCTCTCGACTTTCTCCTCCGAAGCAGGCTGTCCTTGGTAAAGAAGAACGGTACATTTTAGAGGGAAGACATTTCAAAACTTCTAGCTAAATATCCTGCTGACCTAGAGTAGGTAGATGATATTGTCCTGGTCAGTAGTAAGGGAGCGACCGGTTACCTGACGACTTCCGTGTGCGACAACCGCGAAAACCGGCCTCTACCTTAAAGCCCGGAGGTAAAGGGTTAGGAGGAAAACAGTTCGCATAACTGATCTACAAGTAGAATACGGTAGTCAAACGCTTCAGTATTTTGACCAATTTAAGTTTCTCTGTTCGATCATCTCCAGCGAAAGCACTTTCTATCGACAGTTAAACAGCAAGATCATCCTAGCCTCAAGTGCTTTTGGAAACCTGTTCTATATTTGGGTTGAGCAAGGAGTATCTGTTCCCACAAAATTTGCCTATGCCATGAATGTATCAAGTCAATGTTGCTGTTTAATGGCATGGAAACAGTTGCCCTAACGATGGATTAAGATTGATGATTTTACAACGCGCAGTGCATTGGCTTCGACTTAAAATGACGGCACTATGGCCGGAACAAGTAATGACTGTTTCTTCCGGGAACTGGTGCGTCTGTGGATGTGGAGATTAATAAACGAAGACTGGCTTTGTTAGACAAACTGGTTGGGCATACAGCGCTTACAACGGCCCATGAGTATTCTCGTGTGGGAGCCGAGACGTGACAGACGTCGACGCCACCATGCAACATGGACGAACAAGCTCGAGGCAGATCTGCTTTTAGAGATGAATATTTCCTTCTACGATGCAGTAGTCGGTGCCTTATGACAAAAGTATTGAAAAGTTGCGAATACAACGGATATACCGAAAGACCGACGTTATGCTTATGCAACTGACTCAAAGTGATGGGCTCAACAAACAACAACAACGCAGTTTGGATACCCTCGTCCCGATCCCAACGTTTCCCGCTGAGGAAATGACACCTTCTTCGACGTTTTGTACAACACATTGTCGACACCACAGTTTGGGCACTAACCGGAGCACTAAAATAACTGTTTACGTCGTTTTGACAGGCC